AAATCTACTCCTGAGCGAGATATTAACAAGTCTCTTCAGCACAGATCAAATGGAAGTTCGAGTATATACAAACGACGCTTTTGTATTTTTGCAATTCAAGGAATATTAATAGAAGACAGAAGTCGATTTTTTTTACTTGCAGTTGTGTGATTCGTTTTCTTTGTGGAATTTTGAAGAATGAACAGGCAGCGTTTTTAATTTATTCATACCTTGTACAGAGGTTCATTTTTTTCAATATGCTAGATTTATCCACCAATGTTGAGGAATGGGCCACAAGACAAAGTTTGAACTAGAAAGAAAACATTACCAAGGAATTCAAGGAAAACCAAGGAAAGGTATCACCGCCGCCGGTGGATTCCGTCATGAACCGAATTTTTTAAAGCACGGTATCTCGGCTAATTTGAACGTAGAAAGTTGCCGTCATTGGTGGATCCGGCAAATCGACAACACTGTTTTTCTCCATCTAAACCTACGGAAATACATCGATTCTTGGAGGGGCGGGGTATAATCCGACAAGTATCGATAATTTAACACATGTTTAAATGGAGGATTGCTAGTGTTGCCAAATTACTGGATCCGCCTCTGGTTGCTGTTTGGACGGATCTTAATATTTTCAGCTGATCGACGAGAATCAAGCATCGATACACGATTTTGAGACCAGCGCAACTGACCTATTAATCTGAAGTTAACGAAAATTTCTAGATAAAATGGATTGCATTTTGCAAAAAGGAACCACTGGCATTGCAATGATGCTAAGATTGTGCAACTTCATCTTTTGCAATAAAATTGCGGAAATCGTGAAAAACTATGAAATTTAGATAGTAATTTTTGTCTTAAATTTACAGTTTTTAGCGAGTAAAATAGAAACTATTAATGGATAATCGGGGTTTTCCTCCAAGACAAAATAAGTTGCACAATCTTCGCAACATTGCAATGCTAGTGGTTCCTTTTTGCAAAATGCAATCCAAATATAAATAACTTTCCTTTTAATTGAATGTTTATAGAGAAGAATCGGCAACATTGGAACATACATGCGGCGCTTTTTCTTAGGACGGCGACACGACCCTCTCGAGTCCCTCCGCGAGAAGTTCAAAGAGCACTCGCGGTTTTGCGAAAAACTACTCGCATGAAATTACCGCCCTTTGATGAGCGATGCCGTGCCGCGGAGGAGATGAGCTCGTAGCGGAAAAGAGTTAAGCGACTCTGCGACGTAATTGACTTTAAGGGTAGTTTCGGGGTGGAATCGCACGCCCCCGCTCGGGAATATACGTAAATCGACCGTATTTTCGTCCGGAGGCACTTGGGGTTTTCGCGCCGTTGTAAGGTTTCCATCATGTCCAAATGGAGCTGTTGCATGTGTGAGGAATTTGCGATTTGACTGTTGATTTTTATGTAAAAGTTTGCGAGAAACACGATGGTGCCACTGGTTTTCTCTGAAATCAACTCCCAAGCTCAAAAAAGCTCTCAAGTTGAGGCCAAAATGGAGGGGATATCCCACGCACCACGCTATCCTGAGAGTCCACCTCTACATCAAAACAAATTCTCCATGCAAAGATAGGGAGCAAATTAATACATTAGCAGGGCTGCCACTTTATTTGGAGACTCTAAAACTGAAAACACGGCATCACTGCTAATGTATTTGCTCCCTATCTTTGCATGGAGAGTTCGTTTTGATGTAGAGGTGGACTCTCAGGATAGCGTGGGATATCCCCTCCATTTTGGCCTCAATTTGAGAGCTTTTGTGAGCTTGGAAGTTGATTTCAGAAAAAACCAGTGGCACCATCGTGTTTCTCGCGAACTTTTGCATAAGATTCATTAGTCAAATCACAAATTCCTCACACACGTAACATCTTCATTATCATTTTGACTAAGTTTTTCAATAAGGTATCGCCATTTCTAGCTCATCCTAGGATCTCAAAGCTCACACGGGAAAAAACGGATTGCTGATTTACAATTAAATTGTTGAAAAGTATGTCCGAAATGTTTCAAATGTACATTTTACAAAATTTGAAAGCTGCTTTAACTCCGGAGGTGTTTGAAATAACATTTTTTGTTGTGAAATCTACATTGTAGCATGTCGGACACTTTTTTAAGTACAGAATTGTTAAATCAGCAATTTCATTTTTTTCCAAGCAGAAGCTTAAAAACAAAAGCTCATTCGATCGACTGTGAAACTGTGGATCGCAATTTGCAATGCTGAAATTTTCTGATATAATTGTAATTGATTCCTAATTGAATGGAAAACCACTCAACTTAATCTCTTGAAAACTTCCTTGATTTCGACTTCTTCTTCCTTGACTTTTGGAGAGGGTGAAAAAAAAACGAGAAGAGAATAAATGTGCAAACATTTCGGATAAGAGTGTGATAAAAAAAATCCTCTTTGTTAAAAATAAATGAGAGCGAGAATTAGGAAATATGACACTCGTATACGCGTTTTTACCCATTTTACTGTGTTCATGTCTGTGTTCATGCAATGCAGATAGGTGCATTTATAGATGAGCCAGAAATACTGCCGTGCTCAGGAAGAACACCGTATGAGACTTCAGACGTTACCAAGTTTCCTTCGATAAAAACTGAATTTACTGGGAAAATTGTTCATATTTTCCCCCAAAATTTCAAACAACTTTGTACGCAATTTAATCTAAAATATCTAAACATTTCAAGAAAAAGTATGCATGAATGTTCTAAAAAATACACATGTTATCAAGGGAAATTTGGCAACTCCCGAATGTTCATACGGCGTTCTTCCTTAACACGGCAGAATAGTGATTCCTTATTGCAAAATGCAGTCATTTCTATCTGAAGCACAGATGGATAGTAACATTTCCCCAGACAATTTTCGCCAGTGAAGTTTTCACACAATTTTCCCGAACATTAATCCTGCACATTTTTTCTGGTGCAATTTCCGCACATTGAATAATTTAACAACGCTGCCATGAGCGAAAAATATTAATAGTAAGTATTCAATCCGATGTGTGAGGTGTTCATTTTCGATTTACCCCGGCGAAGGTAAAATGGTAAATTGCTAGCGATTTTAGATGGTGAACGCGCTGCAAATGCTTGCCTTTATGTTAGCCTTAATTTATTTTTATTATTTTGTTTTTTTTTTCCAATTTGATTACATGATCCAGTCCTCTTCATGTTCAAGCAAAAACAACATGCGAATGGGATAACGTAATATTTTATCACAAACAGTAAAATTGAAGGCGCTCATGCTTCTGTAACGGCAACGTTTGGATGCAACTATTCGTGTTCGAGGGATGCGCGTGTTGCGTGCGCATTATTGAAGGCGCTCTGATTTTCTTACTCATACTACGCCTGGCTGGAACTGCTCGTGCTTGTAAAATCAGTGGCGGGTGTGCTTTGCGATGTATCGATTGATCGGCCCTTTGAACCTATGGAAAAATATCGATAAACAGGGTGTTCGCAACGAGCACCTCAATAGTCGATCCTTTGCCACAGCTTCAAATGGGGAAATATCGATAATCGATCATTCACGCCACGCCACTGCGTAAAATTGAGTTGAACATCTAGAGTCCCGAAATTTGCATGGTCCTTTTGGGAACGGCATTGCTGATGTGTTGCGAAAAAGTGCAACTTGAAAATTGGTACTTATTTGAGGAGCTAAAATACATAAATGAAAGTTGATTTTCAGAATGATCGTATGGAGACGTTTCTAAAGCACAATTCTGAAGGAGGTCTATGAAGCAATTGTATAAGTCGATCGAATTATGAAGTCTAAGAACGCACAATATTCTCTAAAAGTGGGCAATTTCAATAAAATGAATGTAGAAGTAGGAGGGATTTTCTCACAAAATAAGTGATTTATTTAAAGGAAACGTTAGTCTAATTTTTTCACAGACAAAGAAAGTTGCAAGAGTAGTAAAATCAAATTTCACTCTGCAAACACGGTTTCCACTATCTTCCTTGAAATTTTTCTCACACAAAACAATGGTCCTCTCCATTATCAACGAAGTCTTTAACATATTTTTTATACTGAAAGTAAAGTTCTAAATTCCATCCCTACACCTAATTTGAATTTAATTCGACGCCTGTGCTATGATTTTTGAGACTTCCTGTAATTTTTTAATAAATTAGAGCTCAGACAAGGATCTTAGGGCGTTCACATTTTATTTTGTCAAAGGTGGCTCTATTCTGCGAAAAGTGGTCAGAGTCCGACCCTGTAATCCACAGAGAAAGAATAGTGAGAAATTTTCCACGGAGTCGAGTAAAGAAAAGGGATTTTCGCTCTTTACATCGGGGGAGCTATTGGAAAACTTCGCAAGGCTGTCACTTTAGGCGAAAACTCTGAGGTATATCACAGAGCTCAATTAGCACGTTTGACTTTATTTTGGAAACTTGACAATCTTCTCTGGTCCGGCGAAAGCCTACGAACAGAACCCTTCGTAAGAAGTGGGAAGAGTGGAGGATTAAACTGCCACAAAATCAGGGCTGAGAAATCAGCTTCCACGCCACAACAAGAGAACAGAAAAACCGAGGAAGCACAATATGTAAAGAACCAGAAAAAGGAAGCAAGCAAGTTTTTTGGAAGGTTTATACTCATTTCATCTAAAATGCCACCGCTTACTTTTTCAAACAAACGTAAAGATACAATTATGGATAGCGTGTATGTAGTTGTCCAATGCGTGATTGATTTCTATAACTATCTTTAATAATATATCACTTCCAATTGTTTTCACCAAAGTTTTTACATTTCAGTGCATGTGAAAAAAAACAAACCGGAAGAAAACGTATGATTTCCGGTAGTCGACAACTACGAGTACCCAAGCGCCGATACATTCGAATTGCCTGATCTAAATTATGAAGGATATTCTCAGATTTTGATTTTTCATACGCTACAGGTTTCGTAAGAATTTTATCGCGTCTGCCCAGGGAAAATTGCTGAATTACCCACATCTTAAAAAAATCATGATCGATATACGACGGAATAAACTTAAATAGGATAAATGATAAAAAGGAATGAAGGAAAAGATACTTACTTGAACTCATCTCTATTTTCTACCCTGGAGAGCCGTTGTTTCATTTTGGCCTGATGACTCACATACTCAGCCATGAGCCTCGCAAATCGCATCTGGAGATTATCCAAAGTCCGATCTGAGGAAACAACCAAAGGCCAATTACAATTCACCGCAAACAAATCATTTCTCGCAAAAGCTGCTGTGCCGAGGAAGAACGCCTTATCAACATTTTACAAAACATTTATGACATTTCAAAAACAAAATACAGTTTAAAAAAAAAAAAAAAAAAAAAAAAAAAAAAAAAAAAAAAAACCTATGAAATTTATTCTTCGCGATTTTTGCAGACTTTTGTTCTCAATTTATTCCAGTATAAACTTCAAGGAAAAATATCAATAAATTTTCTCCTAATTAAATATTTTATTAAGAGAAATCTGGTAACATTCGCACGCTGATACGGCGCTCTTCCTTGACGTGAATTATCTCAGGCTGGGCCACCTCGGAATGAAGCACGGCCGATGATTTTCTCGACTTTCCGTCCTGTTCTGCCGTGCGAAGGAAGAACGTCGTATGAGCCTTCCAATGTTGCCAATTCTCCTTCGATAAAAAACCGAATTTAAAGGGCATATTGTGAACATTTTTCCCCAACATTTTTAGAAAATTTTGTCCGCACTTTATACTAAAATATAGGAAAATTTCAAGGAAAAATATGCATGAATGTCGTCAAAAATGCATGTTTTACTGAGGAAAATTCGGCAACTCCTGAACATTCATACGTCGTTCTTCTTTATAGCACGGCAGTATTGTCCTACGTGAGTGTTTGATAATTGCCCGCCACGATTCGATTAATTAAGAGGCAGAATTATCGGCTCGCTCGAAGTCACCCATCCGTTTGTGTCAAGTGAGGTGTGCTATTGAGATGGCTCATTATCGCCACTTTCATCCTCAGTTTACTCTTAAGCTACTCTCCAGTGGCCTACTTATTGACAGTCGATCGGAAGCCTGTCGAATGACCTACTTATCTATTGATCACGGCTGTTTGGCATGTTCATTGAGTGTGATAGACAAAACGCAAACACAGATTTGTTCTGCTCAGTGAAGTCCAAATGGACGTGTCTTCGCTCAAATGAGCTATGTATTGTATAAATTGGGCACATAAACAAACATCGTGCATAGGACTTGCAAACTTTTGCATGAGCAGTTTCTTGACTCATTCTAAAAAAAAATCCAGAATGGGCCTGTTGCAAAATTTAAGCTACAGCGAACAGAAGATTTTGTCTCCTATTAAACATGGCTCAAAAATCTCAATGAGCGTATTAGGAAAGTCTGAAATACACTCCTAACTTCAAAATCTGCGTAAAAAATATGCGTTTTTTCAAGTTCCTACTTCAAAAACGAGACCACGGCTCAGGTGAAAATTTTGGACGAGGAGTCGTTATAAACTAGTCTCATTCATGTTGCCAGGAGCTGAAGAGCAACACCACATTGAAAAACGTTTCATTTTAACGAACATGAGTGAAAAATGAGAGGAGATAGAGATTTGACTGCCGTAGTACATCACTTCCATCATTTTCCGCCACTCCGGCGAGTTTGAGATTCCTTCTAGTCTTTAGACTTTTTAAAAGCGGGCTAGTCCGCGATTTTGGTTCCAAAACTACGCAATAAATCACCACGAGATCTACGCACCTGCGGGCTGATTGTTGACATTGATAGACAAAGATGTCATAAGGAGTATGTAGCGACCCTATATTTGAAATTGATGACTCTTAAGTGAGAAAATGATGGACTAACTGTAGGGTCTCTCGTGTGTGTTGCCGTTAGTCAGTCTGGTACCTACCTTCTTTGTCCATCGCAACCACCCGCTTCCACTAATAGAGTTCCTCCACATCCTTTTCGTCATCTTTGTCTACCTACAAATGTCAACAATTAGCCCACTGGCACGTTCAGAGGATCAAATAAAAAACGCATGGTTTAGTGACATATTTAATGGGTGTAGGCAGGCCCGCCACATCCCATCTCGGGCCCTGGTACCAATTTTCTGGCCCGGGCCCCTAGCACGGGGGGGGGGGGGC